CCGTTTTGATTGCGCTTCGCATCAAGATCAGAATATTTCTTGAGCATCTGCTCCTCCCGGCTCCTCCCTCACCTACGGCTCGTTAAGTGTCATCAGGGCAGACAGTGGGCGATGCTCGTATGGCATTTGATGCTATTTTAAATGCATAAGCCCACGTGTTTATTTTTCGTCTAAATAAATAAGCACAAGTGAAGCGACGCGTCGATGTTGATGTTCACTCGAGTTGGCTTCACTTCAGCTGATGTTGATTTAGAATCTGGCCATAAAAATGTTTATTGCGCGGCTGCTGTTATTGCTGCTGCTGCTGCTGCTTCGAGTACGCTTTAGTACAAGGCTGCGTTGCCTCTTTGGGCACCTCGGCTCATTAGCAATTGAAGTTGAGTTCGGACTCGTGCTGTACCCTTAGCTATGGCTATGCAATTTTCATTTGTCAAATGCGTCGTTAGGGCGAAGCCCAGAGCTTCATCAGTTCGCAGTTGTTGCTGCTGTTGCTGCTGTTGTTGTTGTTGCAGCTGGGAAACAAAGCAAATGTTCCTCTCGTCTATGGGGTTAATGCATTTTTAATGAATTCAAACACATACTGAAGACGTAAAATTGCATTCAAATTGCTTTAATTAAGTGGATTTGCATTCGAAATTGACACAAAATTTCCCAGAAGGCAACAACAACTACCAGAGTGAAGCAGCAACAGCAGCAGCTCAGTGCCAAAAAGGGCCATGGCACTGGCGTGAGTTTTAATTGATTGCTTCATTAATTATTTACATTAAAAGTAGGCACACATGTGGTATACTTAATTTTCGTATGGAAAAGCCTTTCACTCAATACAACAGCTGAGATAGCTGGCAGCCTGACGGTGGGCGAGAAATTAAAATAAAGTCGAAATGAGTGTGCTTCAGTTAGACTCTGAGAAACAAAGTCTTCATATAAATGCGAATAGTATGACTAGAAGATACCCTGGAAAATGCTGGAATATACTCAAGATGAAGGCTTTAACTTCTTGATAAATCAAGCAGACATTGCACCATTATACTCTTTGATTAGTCACCTTTTGAACATGGCTATATATAGTACTAATACTACTAATACTACTATTATTACTACTATTACTACTACTACTACTACTATTATTACTACTACTATTATTACTACTATTACTACTACTACTACTACTATTATTACTACTACT